TTCCTAGAAGTAAATGCGTTTAACATTAGATTGTTCTAACCTCAGCTCGTTAACACCGCATCACACACCCTCACTCCCCTTCGCTGCTATTCTCTCAGTTTCACACTTAGTCACAGGACACGCACATTTTCCTGACTTTATCTCCTACCCTTGCAAGTGCACCAAATATGATCTCTTCTTGTCACCTAATACCCTTCCTTAACCTTTCATTTTTCTTGACTTGATGGCTGTTTTAAGCTTCCGCCTCACTAAATTTACGTAGGCTATGCTCTGAGATGCATTTCTCGCGTTGGTGGATTTATAATGTATACTCTTTGGGTATAACTGAAGCATGTTTGAAGTGATCTCGGGTGAGATATCCGTCAAAAAGAGTAGTTTTTCTGCGAACTATGTCACTGTTGGTGTAAAACTCTATTGTGGGTGAATTGGTGGGTGGGTCAGTATGAAATAATGGAGCAGAGAGTCAATGATGTAAACCTGAAGAAGGCAGATGCGAACAGTTTAAATGCATCGGCAGATTTATGGATGAAGTCAAGTGTAAGTAATTAGAGCCGACCAGCTTGGGATCGCCATGGAGGAATAAGAGTAAATGTAAACGCAGTGGGGAGGTGGTAAAAGTTAAGGGTAGGATTAAGAGGTGACTAGTACTTGATAGGCGGTAAATTGGAGTAGCAAGGCGGAGTAGGGGCAATGGCTTGAATTTCTAATATGAACTAATATCGAGGGAAGTAATAGTACGTCCCGTATGCATTCATTTATCCTGCATCCATCCATCATTCGTGTAATTTTCATTAGTCCGTTCACCCATAGTACAAATAACTATCGCATTAGCCCTTAAACAGTGTAAAAGGTACTTTAAATTAAATTATTTGATTGCTAGAGATTGCTGCACTGCAAAGAGGAGGAGGAGCCAGAAAACGTTGCGATGGAAAGGCAAAGGAGTAGATCAAATAGTTTTTGACTAAATGGGTCGCAAGGTGTTTTAAGGGCTTACAATCTTTGAGTAAAATGAACGTCCATAGGCTTTCCTGTATAGTCGTTTATTTCTCTATCATTGATTGTCTCCTTATAAAAGTGGTCATGCAGTACAATCCCTTTTATTTTAGCTTAGCTGTTAGCATGGTTGCCTTCCCGGCCCTCGATCCAGACTTCAATTCGACTGTCATCACGCGCACCTGGGTCAGTTCTGCTAAGCTTATTACCCACGGGTTTCATTTATTCTAGCTAGCTCTCAGGCTTCCGTCACGCTCATGTCAACCGAGAAAGCACAATGTCTTTCCTCAAACTATCTTTGTAGCCTACTGGTGTGGGTTTAGTTGTACAAGCGATTGAACGACTGAACTGCGACGTCATTTTGACCACCATCTAATTTTGACCTGGCAACTCAAAGCGCTTTTATTTGCTGACAATGCACCCTTATAAAGTTAGTGTATTCCGAAAAAGTCATTTCTTGTTCAGTTTTGTGCGTTTATCCCTATCCTAACTGCCAAGTTGATATGAGTATTGTATTTCTTCTTCTTTTACTTATGTTTGCATCACTATTGTCCTTATATCAGCCTTCTTAAAGGTCATTTGAGGTAAGCCAAAGTAAGGAAGCATTCATTTAATGTTGCATGAAAAGCGTAACTTCTTAACAAAAAGGATTGCTTATCTATCAAAGTAGCCACTCAGAAAGGATAACCAAAAACTGAGTATACTGATTTTACTTAAGAACACAAGGATTCACTTACCTGAATGAACCATTTACGTAACGGAGTAAGAGATAATCCACTGGCATATGGTCTTACAAACAGAATATAAGGGAGTATGCACATGATTCGAATTGGATTGCTCACTACATCATCGACTGGTAGATAGACACGCTCCTCTCTTGCATTGAACCACCTTTATTGCCTGTAAAATGGGTGAGTGCTTGATTGTTGGCAAAGAGATAGAGGTGACTCGTGAAGAATCAAGTATTACTTGTTAAAATGTCATCTGCCACAGATTGAAATTATTACCACAATTTAAAAAACATCACATGGGGCATATTGTCACCTAACTCGACGGTAAGGGGGCAAAACAGTCGTGTCGAGCTGCTGCTACAGCCTCCATTAAAGTACGTTGTTCTGTAATGTATTATTCGCCCAGATATGCCACATCCAGATTAAACGAGATGCTGCTAATACTTTTGGTTGTTTGCCTTTTCCTTAAAGCAGTCATGTATCTTCTCCAAAAGCACCCCCCAGCCTACCATTTATGGATTCGTGGATATCAAGTGCTGTCGCGTAGATTGCTTTTCTTTAAATTCGATGCGTTGTTCCCAATAAGTAGCGAATTACCAAAGAAAGAAA